TTTTTTTCCCAGTTCATTGTGTGAGATAACATTTTAAAAGTAATGTATTGGAATAGTTTTCAGGACAGGTTTTGTAGTGCTTAATAGGAAATTAGAAAAATTAGGGAAGAAGAGGAGAAATCGAATTGTTTGTCATAATATTGAATATAATATTCTATGATTAATTAAATAAAATTTAAAGACTATGTTACAAAATTGAGGTTTTAAGAGCTTTGCAGTCCCTTTTGAACATAAAAATAAGAATAATTTTAATAGACTAAAATTCATATCACTCCTAATCCAGGTAAAACCTTCTAGCTGTATCCTTGTATATCTCTAAGTCTTAGACTTTTTATCCCAATAGGGGCTGTAGGAAGGCCAAATACAACTTTAACGGCTTTCACCTTTGTAAAAAATTTAAAATTTGCTTATATTATTTTTATCTTTATTACTTTGTCTTTAGTACTGATTGTAGAAATTTCAGAAGAAGTGGTGCCAGTACTTACTTAGTCTTTCATGTTTTTCACCTCTGAGAGAAAACTTACTGAATTAATAGTGACCTTACTTGAGTTGTAATGCCTGCAGAAAACATTCTCCTAGCTGAAGAGAGAGACATCCAGAGTAAATGAGTCTTTACGTGTCAAAATAGTCAGGGTTCAGTTTACCAGATTTTATTGTACTGTTGTTACTTGTGCCCTCAGCGCAATATCCTGCCTTAGAAATTTATGCAAGCTATTTATAGTGTTGATGGTATTATTAATAAAATACTATATGTCAGGAACTGTGCTTATAGTATATATTTCTCACAACTTTATTTTGTAGAAAAGGAAATTGTGTTTCCTATTTGTATAAGCAACTTAATCAAGGACTCTCAGAGATAGCAGGGCTGGCTTCTGTCTCAGACATGTCCTACTTCAAAATCTGTTCTCTTAACCAAATGGCTTATCCTCCTTGGTTAACCACTTGGCAGTCCACTTACAGAGATTGGGAAATGTGTTATAAAAAATAATTCTATTGATCATTATAATTGCCTTTATTGATAGCCAGTACTTTTAGCTGTTTGCTTTACTGTTTTTTTAATCCCTTGCTTATGTGTATTGTTAGTTTGATGGGTGGAAGGATGACCAGAATCATATGTTTTATAAGAAGTGTAATTTTTCCCCAGCCACTTCCACTTTGCCTTAGCTGCCTATTATTCTTGAATAGGAGGCAGGAAAAAAAAAAAAAAAAAGGCATTAGAATGGATTTGATCTTTTTATTTTTATTTTTAAAATTACAGACCTATTTTAGTAATTGCAAGGGAAAACAAGAGGATATTGTAAGAAAGTATATTTGTTTAACCGATGTGGTTTAATGGTCAGGGGGGGATTGGCCTGGGAGTTTGACAATAAAATTATCTTGAGAAAAATTAATGAAACCGTTTATTCCTTGATGAGTAAATTTATTATTTACTGTTTTACTCTTCATGGAAAAATTGTGAAAAGAATTTAATTACTTCAGTCAAGTGTGTTCAGTCATGTAAACAGTCAGTTAAGAGTAACAGTTTTTTTAATTATTATTTTAAAATTATTTTATCTTTTAGAAAAATTTTACTTAGCATTTCTGAAAGATGACTAAGTGGTACCCTACTATTGCATGAAGGGCCTTGCCCAGATTTAAATCTTTCAAAGAAATATTTGTCCTGAAGTAGAAAACAACATTTTGTTATAAAAAATCATGTATCTCTTCTATTATTTTTGAAATTGTGATTTCTCATATTGGCATTATATGACTTTCTTAATATTACCATAATTACTTTTTTAGTGTATTTTGGGATCTCTACTGTGCAGCTCCAGAAAGACGGGAAACATGTGAACACTCAAGTGAAGCAAAAGCCTTCCATGATTATGTAAGTTACGTATTATTTTACTAAGTTATATTGTCAGTTTTCTTTTTAAAACCACTGCTCCTGAAAATGCATTGGCCCATCTCTTCTTTTCCTTTGATACTTAAGATAATTGGTTTTTCTTTGTTTCTTGAAAAGTAAAGTCATAACTTTAAAAGTGAAGTACAAGATATTTGAGTCTTGTTGAAGTAAGCTTAGGATAAAAGAGTAGTCATTATTCCAAGATATTAATGGTATTTCCTACATTTAAGCATACTTGGTTTGTGAAATTTCAGATGGGTAGAAAATAAGTAGTTCTTTGTTCTGCAAAAAGATTCATCATAAGATTTCTATAAATGATAAGCTCCTCTTTCGCGCATAAGTTTTTTTTTTTTAATATATAGAAATATTCTATTCTCTCTTGCAACTTTTGGTTGTCTAGGATCTTGCAAAATATCCCCTCCTCTGAATTCAGTTCCACAAATAAAATTTATTTTACTCTGAAATCACAAGCAGCGTTTTTACCTGGAGTTAATTGTTTACCAGATGTTTTTTTCTGCTACAACTTAACATAGAATTGTTTCATTTAACAATTTATTTGGTTTCATTCATGTCCAAAATATTTAGGAGAAGTAGCAATATATACTACTGAACTTTTAATGAAAAATAAATGATTATAATTTTAGTTCTCTGATGTGAATGGAAGATACCTTAATTGTTCTCAAGCAAAGATGGAGCCAAAATATATTATTGCTTTATTGTGATGGTAATGGAACCACATTGTTACAATGAGTTCTTTGAGAGCAGAGAATTATATTGATTCTTCCTTAGGTTCTGTCAAATAATAGATACTCAATAAATATTAACAGAATGTAGTAGCCTGTTAGTTGGAATTTGTAAAGCCTAACTCTAACCGGGAATGTTTCACATTGTTCAAATGTTCAGGTAAAGTGACAGGTTTGAGTCATAATTTTGATAACAGGTGGCTGATTTTTCTTTTCTTGCCTAAGAGAGTCTTTATAACATTTAGAAAGGATTATGTTAAAAGTTTACAGTAATGGGATACTTTAAAAAAATGATATGTAAGTACTAGTGTTATCATATAAATAAAGTAATAGATTTTATTTATACCACATGTTAATTTTTACAGATAATCATCTACTATTTTAGGAAAATACTTCCCTAGAAACTACCCCCAGAGTGTTAGGTACTTCGTCTGCTGTGATTCTGTAACATCTTCTGCATACCTCCTTAATGTCCCTGATAGATTATTGTAATGGGATGTTTTCCCTAATAATTTACGAGCTTCCTCAGGGAAGAGGCTTTGTCCTATATATCTTTTTCATCCTCTATGCCTAGGATGTTGCCTGACATGAGATATTCAAATAGATGTTTAGTGTTTATACAAATGAGTGATTGCATAAAATATCATCTAAGTGTTTGTTATTTCTGATTTTAATATAACAGGATATGTAGCTGCAGGAAGATCGTTTAATACAACTTTTATTTACTTCATATGTCAATACCAATTTTGATAAGATGGCAACTTGTAAATACATAACAAGTGTGTTAAAGCAGGTAGCGAAGGCTTTATAGCTTGGGGAATATAGCAGTAACAAGATAGATATAGTTCCTACCCTCATGGCTTACCATCTAGCAAAAGATAACTTTTTCTAAGAAGTTTGAAATATCAAAAAGTGAAATACATGTAGAAATACAGTATAGGCTTGTATTGCTGGATCAGTCAAGATTTACAGATACTTAAGAATATGGAGGAAAATCAAAATGAATTGTAACAAAGTACACATAACTTTCAATGCTTATTTAGATTTTGCCATATAGTAGGCACTTTGTAAATGTTCAATGAATGAATAGTGTTGCTTTGGGCCACAATTCTCTTAGAACACCTACGTAATCTAGAGTTCATAATAGGCTGGGAACAAATAAATAAAGTTACATTTTAAATCCAGTAAGATAATAGAAACTTTTATAGTATATATTAATCTTCATCAGTCAATATATAGGCTGTTGTTCACTTCAACAGGTAGGGTCTTCATGAGATTTGTTTTTAGCCTTATTCTAGTCTGCCATATTGTTTGTATTCTTGTGTTCACTTCTTTAGGATGCAGTTTTAATTTCTTTGACCATCCGTAAATCTTAAATTTACCTTAAATTCTTTCTAGCATTTGGTTTGTTTGCTTATTGTGTGTTTGTATGTGTGTGTGTGTATATAAACTGTTGATCTGAAGAAGTACGTTCATCCAGTTTACCTGTGGGGTGTGTGTGACCCTATTCCCAACTTGTCATTTGAGCCCAGGATTGCTTATGGGTGACTTCGAAGTAGTGCTGATGACTGTATCATCTACTTTTTCCTGTTTTTCTTGATTCTGAGATTTTCTGTAGGGGAACATTATTTCAGTCATTTGATAGGAAACATGAATAAAGGGAGATAATCAAGGCAACTATGAAGCACTTAATATTAGAGCTGTAAAATTCGTAGTTTAAAAGTCATGAAAAATAAGTTATTTTAGAGATTTTTAAAAAGTGAAGTAGAAATATAGCTAAATATTCATAATAAAGATTGGTAGTATATTTATATAGCCACTTTGCTTTTTATATTTTATACAACTTCATTTAAGATGATTATATTTGGGGCAATTTAAAAAATGAAGATCTATGTCTTATTTCTATTCTTTTTCCCTATGATTTGAAGGAAAGAAACTAAAATCATTGGCAAAACTCATTTTTCACTTACTCCAAACCTCAGGTTTCGATTATTGTTGTTTTTTTCTGTTTTGTTTGTTCAGAGATTCTTATCTCTTTTTGAAATAAGTACCTCACAGTTTTAAGTACTGTATCTTTGACAGGACATAAACTAAGAGGTTAGGCAGTAGTTCTTTAGCCAGGAAATAATGGATAGAGGTAGAATGATGTCACATTCTATTTTGTACTAATAAGAATGGGTTAGCTAATATCAGACTTCAAGAAATATATATAAATTTGATGGCATTTGTTTTGAGTATTAAGTTGGCTTTCTTTTACATATATTTAACCAGAGTGGAAATATGAAATAGAGGATTCATGGGAGATCATTGGCTTCATTATGGAAGGACTTCAGTGCTTAGATAACAGATGGTAAAATTTTAAAAACTGTTAAGGAGATGGACCCTTGGGATATAGTGGGAAGGCCATAGATGATGGTTAGGGGTGTGAGGAGAGCGAATACCCAAGTATAGAGGCTCTTGGCCTCCTTTTAACCAAAATGGCTCTATTCTCTCCATCCCCAATTCATATTATTTTTTCTTTCTAATTAAATGGCACCTCCATAAAACCAATTACCCATGCCATAAAGGAATCTTCTTTTTAATTCCCTTTATTGTTCTTTGCCTTCACCTTCAGCTGATTGTCAAAACCTGTCAATTCCATTGCCTAAACATTTCTTAAACATGTCTTCTCCTCTCTAACCCCACTGCATATGCCTTAGTTCAGGTCCATATCTTGTTCCACTCTTGCAACAGCCTTATAATAGCAATGTCTGGATTTGTCTACTCCCCCTCCTCCCATCAGAGTCCAGGAGTTCTCTTTCAAGGGTTCTTGCTGAAACCCTTAAATAAGCAACTGTTTTTGTTTGTTTTTTATAAAATCTGTTTTATATATCTACAAGGTATGATTCCAAAACACTCTAAAAACTTTAAATAAAAAATATAAAAA